GAAACAAAAAAGGATGAAGAGTTGCACAAAAACCCATATCCTTAACAATAAAAATAAGGTCAGTAATCACGATTCTTTTTTTCTAATACAAATCCCAAATGTTTGCAAATCTGGACATGTATTCAAAGAATTTATTGGGATTATATATAAAAAAAACAGGGGAAGAACTAAAATTGAAGAATAACCTCGCAGAATTGAGAGTAGTTAACCTAGATTTTTATTCTTCTGAAGTGTGAGGCGAGCCATGTCTGGCCGCCTGGGTAATTGCGAGTTTGAGACGGATCAAAGGTGTCTGCCGTCGAATGTCTTGGTGGCGCTAGCAGATAGAGTGGCGGTGTTGTTTTATTCCGGCAACCTCCTGCTTCTCGGCCTTAAGTCCCTCGGAGAAGGTGATCAAGCCTTCACTGTCACCATTCCCCTGCACGCTCTTCTTCTTGAGCTCCAGCGACGGTAGGGAAAGAAGTAGCGGGTGTAGAAGCTGAGAAGTGAAGAATTGTTTGAAGAAAGGTCTCAAAACAAAGAAAAGAATTCGACATGGGTGAAAAAGAAGAAATATGATCAACGGTGAAGATCAAATCTAGGCGAACGGTCAGGATCAATTTGTATCGCTATTAAGTACTAATGGATTTGGATCAAAGACAATAAAACCAACTTAATTTTAATAACAATGTTAGTTTGAAAGTTGTATTACATTAAACAAATATTAAAAGCATTATGACACCTTACTTTAAAAACAATGCAAGTTTCAAAGCAGTATACAAACCGAGTATTATAGAAGTATAACAGAGTAGGTTTATAAACAAATTGTTGACATCATCCAAGATAGTTTAATTATTGACAAGGGTTGTGGGCGAATGACGAGAGGCTGCTCCAACGGAAAGGATATGGGCACCTGAGACGAAATAAGTGAAGCCGCAGCGGTAGTGTCCGGCTGGGTATTATTGGCGGTGTAAGAATCGACCGATGATATAGTCGTATTCCAGGGACAGAGCCAGGAACTGTCATTGGTGTCAATTTAACAAAACAAAAATTTTTTTGAAGCAGAATACTATTATATAATAATCTATGCACATATGAAGCAAAAATAGCAAATATTGTCATTAATAAATTACACTACTAATTCACAACTGTCCACGACGCGTTTTCATATTTTGAAAACGTTATACAATGTTTTCTTTGTCAACACTTTTGAATATATCTTTTTCAATAAAAGTGACTAAGGCATCATTCATCAAAGCATCCCCATTCGATTGCGCAACCTGTTCTTCACGATTTTCATGGCTGAGAAAGCTCTTTTCACAGTTGCGGTCGCCACTGGTAAAATCAAAGCTAATTACAAGTAAGAAAACTAATGGATACACAATATTCAAAATTCACACTTTAATCACATAATAACATATAATACGAGGAAATCATTTTGGATCGGCAGAGAAACTTACCTCGAAATCAAAGCCTCTACTTCTCGTCTTCTATTTTAGTCTCTAGATAATCATCTTTTTAATTAAAATGATATAATTAGTCACCTTTTTCTATTCTTAATATTCTATCCGATTTCCCCCCTCCTGTAATTGTTTTAATATATTAATTATCACTATATCTTGCTACTTTAATTATTAATCTCATGTGTGAATATATATTAACTTAATTTAGTCTAAAAGTAGTCGAGTCATATTTTAAGTTAATTAATTAGTTTGGTTATAACAATCAATCTAAAAATTCCTTTTTTGCACTATACATTTATTTATATTTATATAAAAGGTAGTGAATAATATCAAATTATGTCGTACTAAAATTCTACTAACTCGATTATTATTATTCTTATTCTTGTTAGTAACATAATCCAATCCCATGTTTTGCTAATTAATGCTCGACTCGGCCCAGTCAACCAAGAGAAACAAGAAACGCTGCAGAGTATGGAAGATTACAGTGCGTCGATCTCACGGAAGGAATTAGCAACGCCTCCCGCCAGCGGTAAACAGGACCGAGGGGATTCCGGCTCCGTAGCTACTCCAGGGATGTCAACTCCGACGGTGGTAGGGTTCTCCGACGTCAACTTCTTTCTCCTCCAGCGTGTAGTCTAGTCCGACGACACTCCGGTGCGGTGATGCGTTGTGCGGTGGCAACGGCTCTGGCCGGACTCCTCACCGGACCCCATTCCTCATCCCCACTTATACCATCGTTTCATTCTCTTTCTGGTCTTTGTTCGAGCGAACGAATACATATACTATGTATGTAAATAGATTTGTGGCTTGGCATGAATATCTAATTACTCCGTATATAATATCTCTCTCGTATTTGTGTGAGTATATTATAAGCCTATATTGTACTTCATATATATACTCCGTACATTATTAAGAGTTGTCCCAATATGTTATACTATGGATAGTATGTATTAGCTTACATGTTGAAAGGCCCGAAACATACCATGTGTCTATGACTATCATGTGGGTACTTGTTGGTGGTCTCACATGTATGACGTACATTGCATAATGTACCCATTATTGCTACTCTTAGACCACTTGGAGTGGTGTAGGATTAGGAGTCTAAAATGTTAAAAGTGGAATTTTTGGACTCCTAATTCCTTGTAGTGGTTGGCAAAGTGGGGGAGTAAAAATGGGTAATGGGATGTAGGGTTCTATATTTGAAGGGTGGAGTTGACTCCCTAAAATTAAATGGAAAAGAAAAAGTAAAAAGGGTGGGGACGGACAATTTGGTTGCGCAGAGGAAAAGATGCCATCTGGGCATGGTGAGTAGGATATAAACTAATTGCATGACATCATGATGGTGTCATGCTTGTGTCACGTGGCACTCACAATGGCATCTGACTTTTTTATTTTAAAGAATTGATAGATCCAACTGTTGTGATCATTTGGACACTGTTTGAACGGGAAAAAGATTGATCCAACGGCTGAAATTGAAATCCAACAGTTAAAATAATTTATTTTATTTTTCAATTATTTTTAATTAAAATTTTGCTGGAAAAAAATAGTAATGAAATTTATTTATTTTTACATCAAAATGTGTCTTTTTTATTTTATGATTAATCAGAGAATAAATTAAAAAGAAAACATTACTTATAGTAATTTAATTAATGTTTTACTAAATTGATATGTAAAAAAATGTCCAGAGTGTATTTTATTGACGTTGCTGGAATGCAGAGAAATAGGAGTCAAAACACTGTTTTCATATCGACGGAGTCCGTTTTTGACATTTGGACTCTTGCACCACTCCAAATGGTCTTATGGTTAGTATGCATGCATGTGTATGTGCGGATGCATTATTTGTCTCCTCCTTCATTATTACTCTTATTATGTCCACATACATTGTACCATCCAATATTTTTACTACTACACACCATTTTATTATTAGGTACGAGTACTTCGTGTAAATATTTGGTTGATAACTCAACTCTTTTAACATTGTTATTTTGTGTGGTATTTTTGTACACATTTTATTTACTCATCTCTTTAAATCAAAATGTCACTTTTATTATTGAAACATTTTTATCTGATAAAAAATGTCATCGATGTTAAAATTTTATATGTTTCACTTACTTATTAAAACGTCACTTTCGTAATATTTTATCTGACTATTAAAATTTATTTATTTTTTTAGTTAAATTTTTGGAGTGTCACAAATTGTCTCCTCCCATCCTTTACTGATGTGAGTTGGTTTGAAGTTTGACTCTTTGGCTCCATTCGTGGATATGCCTTAGGGATGTAAAATTGAAGTATAGCATATTCCCTTTTTAGAAAATTAGTTCCATTGGCTAATTTAAATTTATTTGCATTCGCTAATTGAAGTGTTAATACAAAGTGTTAATTTTTGTTGAAGTGCTAATTGACTAATTAGTCTGAAGTGCTAATTGACTCATTCAAAGTGTTATTTACTATCGTATTAAGCTGTAATAATTTTTGCTGTATATAACTGGACGCAGGATGGTGGGTGTCGATTCTTTGCTTGGAAGGATGACATTGGTAGTCAAGAAGGAAATCCGAAGTTAAGGTTGAACTAAAAAATGATAGTAGTTCCTGCTGATTGAGGAATTGAAAGCACTGATTTGTGACATGAAAGCTGATTGAACTAAAAATGTTCGTGGTGAAGTGTGTGAGTTAAAAACTGAAGGGAGCCGTGTTCGTGCTGAAGTGTGAGACTTAAAAGTAGCAGTGCAATGTGGAATCGATGAGAAGAAGCTGAAGTATATAAGTGTAGTCTACATAACATTTGCAGTGTCAATGGCTATGTTGTTTTGTGTTCCTAAAGGAATGTAGTGATGTAGTTGTGTAATTCAAAAGTATTCGGGTAGAATTTTCCACTTGAACTAACTAACAGGGGACTGACACCAAAATACCCACAAAGGGGTCCCGCACTCCGAACGGGGTACCCGACCGGGGGATCGGCAAGTGGTAACTGCATTTAATGCTAAAGTATATATGGCGGTAGCAAGTAGAGGCATGGGTGCACTCGTGGCAGAGGTAACAGCCTACCGGGTTCGGCCACATGTCCATCTCACCTACCCCCCTCTAGTATAAATACCTACATTTGAATACATTGTAAGGGGTTAGCAATTTAATACTCAGAGCTTAGCAATAGAATCATCTCTCTTGTTCTTGTATTTGAACTCATACCGACAGACCGTTCGGGTAATTTCTTTGTAATCGCAGAATTACGTAATACAAGTTAGCTTTTGAGTTCATTCCCGGTTCACTCTTATATTTTATACACCTTTTAACCAAGACACACGTCCTTAATATCCAAAGCGTGTCTTGGGCCGTTAGATCTACGAGACTTAACCTCAACAGGAACCATTCCACATGACTTGAGTGCCTGCAAGACAAAGAAAATATGTTATATGGGGAGGGATGGGTGGACATAATGAAGGAAGGGGGCTGCACATGACTTTTGAGACAAACGTTGCAAGGACCCTCCTCCATGTGTGATTGATCCACATGATGCCAACCAAGCCCCATATCCATTTATTTCACTCCACGCAACTTATCGAACCATATTGAGAGGCATTAGAGCATTCCCACAAACCCCCATTCATACTCCCAATCTTAAAGAAGAAGAGAGTTACACAAAATCAAAGAGAGCAAGAAAAAGGAAAATTGTCCGCAATATTAATTCTAGTTTGTGGGTTACTTGTTCACTTCATATCATGAGCTTCAATCGTCCAAAATAGGCGTGTGAGTCCCGACGAATAGAGTCATCCTCACACATATATCGTCCAAGTCCTCCAACGAACACATCTTCTTAAATCCTCTGGGTTAGGCCCAACCCGGAGCTCAGTGAATCCATTGTGCATGGGTGTTGCATTGGACAAGCGCGAACCCAAAAGAATTCAAAAGAGTTATAGTGAACTTGAGACGGATTGAAAGGGTGGCCAATCCGGGGGTGGCACGTAGATGAGCCAACGGTGGCGTCGAACCAACTCTCGTCGTCTCTTCAGCATAACTCCGACTAATCCACTGCGGCGAAACACAAAAACATCTCCAAAGCTAGCTTACTCCTTACGCTTTTGGCATCAACCATGTCCTCCCCTCTGACCACCCCACCTGGCATTGGCAACCACCCGGGCACTAGTGACTAATATAGTCAACCGTCGGCTACTAATTTCCATTGATAAATTGTCTTCCAAAAATACAGCCTCCAAAGCTCCAATTTCGATTCATCTATGGAAAGGTTGGTGAACTCGAGTACTCTTATATCCTCTGTGCTTCTAAAGTCATCTCCACCAACATCTAACATTTTGCTTGTCGTCTATATACTTAGTTGTGTGCTAGATTAAAACAAAGTTAAATTTATTTTGACAAAATTCCCTAAATAGGAGTAAAAATGTTTTGAAAATTTCAAAATAGGAGTATTATGTTTTTTATTCCCTAAATAGGAGTAAATTTATGTCAAGTTTGGCATTACAAGTCCTTTAAACATGTCATTTTTTCCCAAACTTGGCAGATTACTTCTATTTAGGGAATAAAAACATGATACTCCTATTTTGGAATTTCAAAACGTTTTTACTCCTATTTAGGACAATTTTTTATTTATTTTTAGTTTTTTATTTTTTAAAGATTTTTATTATGTAAGTTTTGGTTGTTATGTGTATCCGTCAGGATATGTATTTGAAATTTTAAAATAATTACCACAAAAGTTGGAAACATTTAATAAATTAAAAATACTGTCCGAGATCGTAAGGTACGTATACGGTGTATCCTAGAGTATTTGATACGCGGACGTTTCCAATACGTCGATACGGTATCCTAAATGTTCCAAAACGACAACTCAGACGACAACAATGTTAAATTACTAGGGCATAACAGGAATTAAAATTTAGTATGAAAATGAGTGCATTTAAGTTTAACTACTAAGTAGCTGCTAGCTGGGTGTATTCAAGGTACTCGAGTATAATATTGGGCAATTCTAATGGCAGCCCTCTTTTTGCTATACCAAGCCACATCTTCCGTAATACAAGTTTTAATTCCTATTATAGCCTTGGTGGCTGTAAACTCTAAAGCAATACGGAGAGTCGGAAACTTTCAGAAAGAATACTTCAATCTTGTTCTTCTTAATTAGTTTATATGAATTGAATTTTGACTTCCAATAAGTTTATTTTGATTCTTTATTTCTGGTAGTTGATGATGATAATCAAGATCTCTACCGCCATGCAAGCGGCGGAACGGCCCTGGGAGACATATGTCCGGTCGCCGACAATGTTTTCATTCACAACCGGGAAGGTGACGACTTAGATGCGATGAAAATCTGACTTACATCAAGATGAATAAGATCTCCATCAGCTCCTTATCCCTGAAGAGAACCTCTCTTTCACGTGAATTAAACTTCCAAAAATAAAACATTGTTCCCCAATTGACATTAATCAATTCAATACTTATTAATAAAGAATGAATGAGCAGCTAAAACCATAAATTTCCCATTTTGGAGAATCAATACCAGCCCAAAATCAAACACATGGAAGATATACTACGTAAAATTGAAGATGCGACGAAGATGCCGCCAGGGAATTTCGCCTGGCCATGCCTAGAATTCCAAGCTCATGTTCTTTGACGTCGATGGACGACGGCGGCACTGCCGCTCCCGGAATACAAGTTCACTAAGAGCCCGTTTGGAGACCCATTTTTTCGGCTTATCAGGCTTTTCAGCCAGCTTTTTCACCAAACACGTAATTTTTACTTTCGCGTGTTGAATTGTGTAATAAGCAGAAAAAGTAAGGTTGGAGTTACTTTTCTGGCTGTATTGGCTGAAGTTACTGTAGATGACCATTTTAGCTATTTTTACATGTAATTTTTTCTTTATTTTATTAATAAAATATATTTTTAAAATATTGTTTTCTAGAATCAGCAGAATTAGCCAAAACAGCCACTTCAGCCAGAACTTCATAAATTTCAGCAGAAACAGCCAAAACAGCCGATTTTCGTGCTACCAAACGGGCTCTAAAGATGATTGTGTTATTGATAGTTTGGACTACATGGAGGACTTCACAAAAGGGAGATGAAGGCCGGTGGGATGTGTACTGCTCTGTTTTTAAGAGCTCAGATGGTTTTCAAGAAGCTTAAGGATAAATTTGTAAAATTAATTAATTTGGGCTGTGTTTAGTAAAACACAGGCTGTGTTTAGAATCACCCTATAATATTGGGTACCCTATAATATTTTGCCGACCACAAATTACAGGAGCCCAAATCCTTTAAACCCAAATCAATGGGCCTATGCTCCTGGAACAAAAGTACGCTGCTGAAACAAAACGGTTAAACCCTAATCCCTCATAATCACTTGGCCTGCAAAACTCTTTGACGTATTGTGTCTTCCGCATTAATCATTATATTTTGACGATTTCCAATGCACATAATTATGCATTACACTTTGAAACGTGAAACAGCTTGATAATACTTTGGAAACACGGCTAAAGTGTATTCTTGGATAATTATGCACAGGTAATTGTGATTTCTAGCCAGCAATAAATTGACAGTTTATGAATCCAAAATATTTTTAAAATCTGAGTCAAGTTTCATTCTATTAATTTGTGAAAATTGATAAATTTATGATGAAGTTGTTAACAATTACTCCTTCCGTCCCGCTATGATTGTCTCATTTTACCATTTCGGTCCGTCCCACTAAGATTCATTTTACCATTTCGGTCCGTCCCACTAAGATTGTCACATACCTTATTTGGTAAAGTTTGTGTGGTTCTAAATCATTCATACTTTATTCTTACTTTATCAATTCAATACCAACCACATAAACTCACTTTTATTAATAATCGTGTCACCTTCTCTTGTCTCAAACTTAGGGGGACGGAGGTAGTAATACGGAGTAATACCTTATGACAGTGTAGTATGATAAACTACGTTAATTGTTACTTATCTTCTCATTAGACATTTTAGTAGGATATAGATAATCAATTCCAGTTCTAATTTTTACAGGACCAAAAAGTTTGCATGGAAAACACGGACATTGTCCATGTTTTCTTGTGGCCTGGCGCTGCTATTCAGGCTTCTATGCGCCTTTGATCGTCTTTCCAACATCTTTGAGAAGGTTGAACTCGTACTTCAAGGCTGCCACTTGCTTCTCACGTTGATTGAGATGAAGTTAGAGAACAAGCTAACTAAATCTCCCTTGGAGTACGTCGCTGTCCTATCATCAGCCATGCTCATCCACCGCAACTTTTACGGAGGATCCAAAATGTGGGAGTTTGTCGATGCCACACATTTTTGCCTTCAGAACTTTGCTGCCGGAGTCCACACTGTGTGCTGGCTGAGTGGTGTTATAGCCCTATACAAGCATGTGGACCATCTTCACAAGAGCGAATAGGCATAGAACTGATAGAAGCAATAGATCTTCTAATGTATCTTCTTATCTTTCTCCTACCTAAAGCAACTTTAGGGTTTATTTGGGATTCAAGTGATAGCACTAATATGAATGTGGCCTTCTGCACATTTCATATGTTTTTCTGATTTTGCCGTGAGATTTATGGATTTATGCTCTAGTTGGAAAGATTGGCCAAAATATTAAATAAATTGATGAGTCCTAAAAATTAAAATAGTAAGAGAGTCGTATGCATATGAAAAACTAGTGGAGTTCTTAAAGGTTGTGCACTTGTGCAATGAATGATGCTGACATGTGACTGCTCAATTGGCAAGCCCAATCAAATCCTTTTAAATGTAATGAAATATCGAATCATCCACATCTATTATAAATTCATAATTTTCATTTACGTTATGATTAGCTTAAGTAAATTGAAGTCAAGGGGTCTTGCTTCACACTTTCCTCTTCTTCTGAAGCCGGAGAGCTTCTTCGTCTGTTTTTGGGCCTTGACCAATGACCATATTGATTATTTTGATACACAACTTCATCTCTACCATCAACTGATCAACATCATCATCCTCATTTTCATTATTGTCATTGTTAAGTACTACCTCCGTCCCACTAAGATTGGGACAAGAGAATGTGACGCGATCATTAAGAAAAGTGAGTTTGTGTGGTTGATATAAAATTGATAAAGCAAATATAAAGTAAGAATGATTTAGAACCACACAAACTTTACCAAATTCGGTATGAGATAATTTTAGTGGGACTTTCCGAAAAGATAAAATGAGACAATCATAGCGAGACGGAGGGACCTAGGGAGTATGTATCTAGGGGTGGACCGGGCCCGGTTCGGACCCGGGCTTGGCAGGGCTTGGGATTGTTTTGTGTAAGGCCTGGGACCGGCCCAAGAGTCTACCGATTCCGGGCTAATAGGCCGGTTCAGGTCTGGGTTGGTTCAGTTTTTTTGGAGTTTTCTTATTTATTCGATCCCCCACCCCCCAAACCCCTCGAAAACACCCAGCCCAGCTCACCTAAACCCAGCCCAAACCCAAAACTCCACAAAAAAGAGCCCGAATCGGGCACAGACCGGTTGGGCCGGTCCGCAATTTTCAAGTCGCGGACCCACCCCCGGAATAGTCATCGGTCCGGGCCTAAGCCCGGTACCAATCACCCGAGCCAGGCCGGTCCCGCACAGTAGCGGGCCAGGCCGGTTCCTGGGCCGGTCGGACCGGACCAGCTCCATCCCTATATGTATCGCTATCTTCATATCATCATCGTCTTTGTCATCATTGTTGTTATGAGTGTGACACTGTGACCTTTGTTGTTTCCACCATCATCCTCTTCTTCATGTTCACCACGTTTTTTGGTATTGCCTTGATCATTACTATCACTCTCGCGTGCTGCAAGGGTGTCCTTTTCATTCTCATTGGGGTTGTTTTTCCGAACTTCTCCTTCCTCACCATCAATGCCCGCATCAACCCAATTCTCACCTTTGTGGAGTTGGCCTTTCATTTAGAATTGGCTCATTGCCATATTACATCAAATGTGTTCCAAAAGCTGTTATTGTTAGTGCTATTCGTCCTTTCAACATGGATAATCACGGGCCAGTAAATTAGTTTATTGACTCTTCGTATGGGGATTAAGGTTAACTGATGAAATGGGGCCACACAAAAAATTGACATCCAAGTATTTACTATTTACATACTCCCTCCATCCAGAATTTTTTACAAAGCCAATATATTTTGGTCAAAATTAAAAAAGTTAATCTTCCTTATTGATAATTAATTCAATTTTTAATAATTAAAATTTACATATTCAGAAACTATATTAAAATCTTTTCAAAGTTGTGAACTCCAAATTAAAATATAATTAAAAATTAGCATTCTAATTAAGCAAATAAAATGAAATTATTTTATACAAAAAAAGACAAATTTGCAAATAGGAAAAACTTTACAGTGGTTGGGGCGGGGGTTCACTCCCCCATCCCCCGCCCCCTGTGGTGGATTTACTATGGGGGTAGTGGGGGTAGCTGCCCCTCTCAACCCCCACCCTACCCCTATATATATTTAATTTACAATTATATGTATATTTGTATGCTAAATATGACATTATATACTGTAAGTACGAAACTCATGCCTTGTTTTATTTTTTTCATTCCTTTTCTTTGGCGATTTTACATAATTCTATCAATTTTTCTCAAATTTGAAAGATTAAACTACTTCATTACAATTTTTGTTTATCATACTTCTTTTGTTCTTTTTTAATTGTAACGATTCAATTTTCGCGTTTGTCAACGCACAAATTTAACAATTAATATCTTTCATTCCTTATTGATGAAAAATAAAAAAAAATCTGATTTTGATAATTTAAAATGAGAGAAATTAATCATTTTTTTCAAAAACTTAATTTGTTATAGATTAATAAATAAAATGTAATCAAAGTAAAATATGTGAATAGTGAAAAATCACCAATGTTGCAACTAAAAGTCTAAAAGAGAATGAAAGTAGTATAATTTATAATTTTGCAATTACATTTTTATTCTAAATAGAAACTGATTTTTAAATATAATTTTGCATTCAAAATTTACATTAATACTAAATGCAAACAATATTCATCCGGTATTCAACTCATCTATTTTTTAACATATTTTAGAAAAATTAAAAAATTTATGATTAATTTACTTCTGAAATTTGTTTAATACTTTTTCATGTTTTTTCGTTGAACAAATATTTTATTATTTATACCCAACTTCACAAAAAAAATTCATTGTATGCAATTGTATGTGACATGATTAAGAAAATATGTGATCTAAATTCGCCTCCACTCACTATAATTCATGGATCAATTAGATATATCAATATTATTCTATAGACGGCAAGTGCAAATCTTGTTCAGTATGCTCGGAGTAAGCACATCCTGATCAGTGGCAGATCCAAGAATACAATGTATTGGGGGCAGGATTCAAGTCATTCAACTACTATCATCGATTTTCATCTTTTGAAAGTGATTTACTATAATTTCATTTGTAATTACATTAGTAATTAGTATGTATGATACTCTCTTTTTTCACTTTGTAAGATGCACTTTCTTTTTTTGAATTTTCCCACATAGGCACATATATGAACACTTTCCTAAATTGAACACTCCATTTTTTTACTTTATCTATTTATTCATCATTTCACTCTTTACCTTTTATGAACACATCTTACTTTTTCTTTATTTGTGGAGGTTACAATTGTGAACTAATAACACTTTATTCTATATTTTTTTTAAAACTCTCATCCAACTTACATGTATATTACATTATGGGATGAAGATAATAATTGTTTTTATATTACGATAGAATTTTTATTTACATTACTGATGAAACGGTTAGTAACACCAGAGGAAGGGAGGGGGGGGAGGTAAATTGTGTGTGTCTGTGAAACCGTGACAGTTTTTCGCCAAGTTCTAGTGTTGGATAAGGGGAAATGCGAAATAGTAAAGTGCACAAGGATTTAACGAGGAAAAATCCCTTGACTCACAGGAATTAAAAAACCCCGACCTCCCTTGGAGGAATTTTAAACTACTTCATTAAAAAGTCTTTGAATGACTACAAGAGTAACTCTACTAGTCTACCCTTGAGCCACCCCAACTCTATCCTCTCTAGGAGGAGTTATGCAACTCTACCTTTCGGGTAGAGAGCCTCTCAACTTTACAACAAAGCTCTCACCATACACTTTACCCAACCTGAGGAAGCTACACATAGCTAATCCTCAAAACCCCGATTACAATATAAAAGGGAAAAGAAGAACTCTATCTAGAACTCCAGTTGCAGTTTCAGGTGCCTTGGACTTGGTATTTCTCTCGGATATCTCTCTTTATATTTTCTCGGTCAAGCTCTGCCATATCTCTTTTGCTCCTTTGATTATATAGTCTGCCTTGGGATGAACCCGTTGGAGCCTTATTTCCTTGAATAGATCAAAGTTGATTCTTGTCTTGTTATAATTTAAATATTTTTCCATCTTGAGACTTAAGTCAACCGAACTCATATGGTCTCACAACACAAAGAATAATTTGCATAGTAGCAAGCAAGACAATAATTTATTATCCTACCATAATAATAAGGATGCAGCGGATCATGCCACCAAACAACTTTACACAATCTATTCAAATTAGTTAATCAAGAACAATCATTTATGTTAAGTAGATATTTCGCATATATGGCAAACAGGCAAAACATATATTTCGTAGGAGCTCTTGAATAATTGATTACCATGCTAAGCATATAAAAAATCATTTATTATTTTAGGCAAGAAAACCTTTACTAAATGAAGATCCTTTCCATAAAGATATTCAATTAACCTTTTCAAAATACAACATCAACAAGGTAATTGTAAGCAAGGATTCCTTCCATTAAGGTTAATTTATAAAGGGCAATTTATTCAGGCAAGTTGAATTTCAACTACTACCACGTAAATCATGCAGGCACCATTCTGTAGTTACGTAGTCATAAATGCTTAATCAGAACTCAGAGTAGTTCCATCTACGATTTTGTCAAGAATCCACCCTAGTGCATGCTACCTACATGGTTAGTGACAAAAGAGTTCTTTCCCTTGTTCATGTATGGTTAGTCATCAACAAAACTAAATAGTCAACCATTACTATGAGGGTGTTTGGAACTGATTCTTAAAACTGCTTCTGCTCCTTCAGAGAGCACCTGTAGAAGTTGGAGTGTTTGAGTGAAAGTGCAGAAGTAATTCCAGTGCTCTAATCTACTCCTAGAATCAGTTTTTTAGAAGCAAGGAGTGACCAGCTTCTGAAAACTGATTCTGATTCTACTTCTGTTTTAAAAAAGAAGCAGAAGCAGAATCAGTTCCAAACACCTCTATATAGTTAATTGAGATAATTACCCTATGTATGACTAGAACATAATGACTTTCTGAATCTATGACCTAACTAGTTTTTTTTATCAAAATAATATTAAAAAACATAATATTTATTTAAAATTCGTAATTAATAATTAACAAATAATTTTTAAGGACAAAATTACCCTTTAGCTTATACCTATAAAACTCTAACCTCCTATTCCTTTTCTACAACCCTAGCTACAACATTCAACGCCCTGCCGCGCAGCAGCCCCGCCGTCGCCGTCCAATTGCCGCCGCCAACCGTCTAGACCGCTGCCCATCGTCCAGCACCGTCACCCACCATCCAGCGCCACCGTCTCTCACAGAACTCTGGCCTAGGAGCATAGTTTCCGACCCAAACGCAATGTGGCTTGCTGGCCAGTTGTCCGCCCGACCTTGGTACCAAGGCTGCGCTCCACAACCCACTGTCCGCCGCCGTCCGTCCAGAAGCGCGACCGGCGACCACCTGTGCAATCAATCGTTTGCTTGTCCGGCCACCCCC